GGAAACATCTGGAAAGCATTACTAAGTTCCTGGAAAAAAGGATATGGGAAGATATGTGAAAAGCCAGGGATTGGTGTATTAAAATCACGCCATACTATGTCACATAGGATATAAATACCAGGTCTTGAACAAAGGAGATGAGAATAGCAAATCACAGAATTGGGTCCGGCTGTTCTTCAGATATCTGCAGGTATCTGTAAATCTGACGCTGAAACTCTTTGTTATAATAAACCTTTATAATCAAAGTACAGTGTCAGCGGATCTTCTTATCATCACGGCATTATCAGCAACGTTTGTCTTTTCACCACAAGAGCACCAGTAAAATACCAAATAAGTATCCTCCTGCTACCAGAAAAAAAGCAATAGTATCTGGACATTTAAACAGGTGTTTAATTTAACAGTGGAGATATTAATAAGATGAGTGTATTCATCCAAATGCACAGCCAAATGGGTAGATGGTGAAGCAACCAGAGAGCATAAAAGGGGAAGGGGAAGATTTTGATATTTTATTAAGGTATAATGAAATTATAATTGACTGTTATGTGTACTTAGTATCAGTGGTGTAAAGTACTTAAGTAAAAATACTTTAAAGTAATACATAAGTAGGTTTTTGGGGTATCTGTACTTTATTTTACTATTAATATTTTTGACAACTTTTACTTTTACTTCTATACATTCCTGAAGAAAATAATTTACTTTTTACTCCATACATTTTCTATGACCCAAAAGTACTCGTTACATTATGAATGCTTAGCAGGACAGGAAAATGGTCAAATTCATGCACTTATCAAGATAACATCTCTGGTCATCCCTACTGCCTCTGATCTGACGGACTCACTAAACACACATGCTTCGTTTGTAAATTATGTCTGAGTGTTGGAGTGTGCCCCTGGCTATCCGTAAATAAAATATTTAAAACATTAAATGGTGCCATCTGGTTTGCTTAATATAAGGAATTTGAAAGTATTTATTATTTTACTTTTGATACATATATTTTTGCAATTACATTGACTTTTGATACTTGAGTATATTTAAAACCAAATACTTTTAAACTTTTCCTCAAGTAGTATTTTACTGGGTGACATTCACTTTTACTTGAGTAATTTTCTATTAAGGTATCTTTACTTTTACTCAAGTATGACAATTGGGTACTTTTTCCACCACTGCTTAGTATAGGTATAAATATCATAACCATTCAACAGATTATAAAAAACGACTGCTCATTTTGTTATATAGATCTATATATATTTTTTATTACCGCTAACTATCTTGGTAGAACTGTGTGATCTGGGCCCCATTTCCCAAAAGCATCTTAAGGTTGAGGTCATCCTTAGGAGCATCGTTAAATCTCAGAAATGTTTCCCAAAGCCATCGTTATTAACGTTGCACTTGTAAACGATTGTAATCTAACGCCTGCCTTTGACCACTCGTCGAACAGCTAAGTGCGTCGTTAATGTTTTTTTGCCCTCCCGCGTCACTTTATACACAGATCTCCACTAAACATAGAAACACATGGTTTATCCGTCTCTATGTGACGCTGATAACTTCAGAACAAAGTTGATTACAAATACAACGTTGCCAATGTTTTTGCAATTTATACAAACAAGCAATGTATAAAAAGAGCGCTGCCTTTCTTTCGATCCTATCAGTATCAACACATGCTCCAAAGACGCACTAGGAAACGTTCTTTCTGCATGGTGTTTTGGGAAACGCACGACATCTTCGGCCGTTGTAGGAAAGATGCATCATTAAAACACTTGTAAACATCAATTCCATCGCTATCGGGAAACCGGGCCCTGGTCAATCACTGTTTTTAATGATACTTTTTGCTTGCCTTTTTGGGGGGTAACTTCACCACTTTTCAACCTCATTTTCATTATCTCCAGCATAATACGTGTAAACATATGTAAAAAACGCACATTCCTACGTTTTGTAGAAAAATAATATTAAGTTAAAAAGTGCTACCCGATGACATGAAAAGTTTAAACATTTTTAAAACTGATTTTCAAACACTATGACATTTGCGGTGAAGTAGGGAGCAAGAAAATACCCTCCCTTGGGCTGTAAACTCTATGCAAGTTTTGAAAATCACTCTTTACTTTTAATCCTACCCTGTGAGTCACAGAGAAGCCTTCATTTTTTTTTACCACATATAGAAATGCGCTGTTTTCACATATGTAGGCACTGGTTTGATGCTGGAGATGATGAATGAGGTTGAAAAGTGGCGGAATTGCCCTTTAAGATATCACATACTTTCTATTGTTTAAAGTAGGCTGCAGGTGCCTTAAAAAGTAGGTGCCTGCCATTTTAGAATTGTGAGTTACATGTATAAACTGAGCAGATTTGAATTAAAACAAAACTGAGCCGATATGTTCTAAATCTTTCTTTTCAACCTCTATGAGGTGAGGTGTAAGTGGGACAACTTCCTGTTCTCAATATTCTGGAGGAATTTTACTGCCATCCTCAGAAAATACACTGCTCAAAAAAATTAAGGGAACACTAAAATAACACATCCTAGATCTGAATGAATGAAATAATCTTATTAAATACTTTTTTCTTTACATAGTTGAATGTGCTGACAACAAAATCACACAACAATTATCAATGGAAATCAAATGTATCAACCCATGGAGGTCTGGATTTGGAGTCACCCTCAAAATTAAAGTGGAAAACCACACTACAGGCTGATCCAACTTTGATGTAATGTCCTTAAAACAAGTCAAAATGAGGCTCAGTAGTGTGTGTGGCTTCCACGTGCCTGTATGACCTCCCTACAACGCCTGGGCATGCTCCTGATGAGGTGGCGGATGGTCTCCTGAGGGATCTCCTCCCAGACCTGGACTAAAGCATCCACCAACTCCTGGACAGTCTGTGGTGCAACGTGGCGTTGGTGGATGGAGCGAGACATGATGTCCCAGATGTGCTCAATTGGATTCAGGTCTGGGGAACGGGCGGGACAGTCCATAGCATCAATGCCTTCCTCTTGCAGGAACTGCTGACACACTCCAGCCACATGAGGTCTAGCATTGTTTTTGCATTAGGAGGAACTCAGGGCCAACCGCACCAGCATATGGTCTCACAAGGGGTCTGAGGATCTCATCTCGGTACCTAATGGCAGTCAGGCTACCTCTGGCGAGCACATGGAGGGCTGTGCAGCCCCCCAAAGAAATGCCACCCCACACCATGACTGACCCACCACCAAACCGGTCATGTTGGAGGATGTTGCAGGCAGCAGAACGTTCTCCACGGCGTCTCCAGACTCTGTCACGTCTGTCACATGTGCTCAGTGTGAACCTGCTTTCATCTGTGAAGAGCACAGGGCGCCAGTGGTGAATTTGCCAATCTTGGTGTTCTCTGGCAAATGCCAAACGTCCTGTACGGTGTTGGGCTGTAAGCACAACCCCCACCTGTGGACGTCGGGCCCTCATACCACCCTCATGGAGTATGTTTCTGACCGTTTGAGCAGACACATGCACATTTGTGGCCTGCTGGAGGTCATTTTGCAGGGCTCTGGCAGTGCTCCTCATGCTCCTCCTTGCACAAAGGCGGAGGTAGCAGTCCTGCTGCTGGGTTGTTGACCTCCTACGGCCTCCTCCACGTCTCCTGATGTACTGGCCTGTCTCCTGGTAGCGCCTCCATGCTCTGGACACTACGCTGACAGACACAGCAAACCTTCTTGCCACAGCTCGCATTGATGTGCCATCCTGGATGAGCTGCACTACCTGAGCCACTTGTGTGGGTTGTAGACTCCGTCTCATGCTACCACTACAGTGAAAGCACCGCCAGCATTCAAAAGTGACCAAAACATCAGCCAGGAAGCATAGGAACTGAGAAGTGGTCTGTGGTCACCACCTGCAAAACCAGTCCTTTATTGGGGGTGTCTTGCTAATTGCCTATAATTTCCACCTGTTGTCTATTCCATTTGCACAACAGCATGTGAAATGTATTGTCAATCAGTGTTGCTTCCTAAGTGGACAGTTTGATTTCACAGAAGTGTGATTGACTTGGAGTTACATTGTGTTGTTTAAGTGTTCCCTTAATTTTTTTGAGCAGTGTATTTAGGAAAATGTAATAGGTATAATGTACTCTTCTCAGTCCTGTTCACTATTATTTTAGTCAATCATAGAAGTCTCATGTCCAATCTACATTGCTTTTGTTTGTCTGATTACATGACAACTGCCTTTGGTTACATGGCTCTAAATCTTGACCTTCTGATTCACACATGTGCATCCAAATGTTGCATTGGATTGGACTCAATTTGATGTGAGTAGCAGGTAGCAAGCCAAGGCTCAGGGCAATTGTCCTGAAGTGGATGTACCGGACATTGATTTACATGCAACTAAAATCAATAAAGGAATCTGTTAGTTTAGGTAGTGCTCAAAATACACTACACATTAATGACAAAGAGAAATGTAGTCATAAGGTAGGTTTAATTGGCCAAATTTAAACAAAATCAGGACGTTTCAACTGTAATTAGCAATACTATAGATACAACCATTCAGTGCTTGACTGATGAACATACAAGCACATACTGTCCAATGACGTCAGACTATAGCAATCAATGTGTTTCCTCAATTCTCACATTATCCATTCCAGATATATGGCTTATTATTTCTCTACTTAGAAAAATGTAATTAAAAATATACCAGTATATACACAAATACATTCATATTTACATTACAAGGAAGGGAGTTTATCAGTTACTTTCATGTGATTCTTGTACCATGTGAAGGTACTTTGACAGGAGAAAGGTAGATGTAATATATAAATTACATGGTATAATAAAGTCAGTTGAACTTAAGACCTCGAAATTAATTTCTTTAAATGTGTTAAAATGTATAAAATATGAAATGGCAAAAGGAATACAAAAATGTTTAGACCTTTCAACTACAAGAGCATTCCCAATAACGTCTATTTACATTTACAGTTATGATGCTGAAAGTGAAAGTCACAGGGTGATTGAGTTACTACAGAGAAAAGTTGTCCACAAAAGTAAGACATTATGTGTTTTTATCACTTTCCACCTCTGCAGGTGTATCACTCTCCTTTGGGACATCAGATTTGTTTGTTTCTTTTTTGTCTTCTCTCTTTTCTTTGCTCTTGCTCCTGTCCCGGCGGTCTCGGTCTTTGTCCCTTTCTCTATCTCGGTCCCGTGCTCGGTCTCTGTTGTTTTCTCTCCTGTCAGGCTCTCTCTCCCTGCCTCTGTCCCGGTCTCTGCTCCTGGTCCTGTCTCTTTTCCTTTCTTTGTCTCTCTCCCGGTCTCTGATCCTGGCTCTGTCTCGGTCGTAGTCTCTCCTGTCAGGCTCTCTCCTGTCAGGCTCTCTCCCCCTGACTCTCCCCCTTCCTCGGTCACGGTCTCTCTCCCTGTCCTTCCTCTTGTCTGTCTCTGGATCCCCATGCCTGTCTGCCTCTGGAACCCTGTGTCCGTCTCCCTCCGGAACCCTGTGTCCGTCTCCCTCCGGAACCCTGTGTCCGTCTCCCTCCGGAACCCTGTGTCCGTCTCCCTCCGGAACCCTGTGTCCGTCTCCCTCCGGAACCCTGTGTCCGTCTCCCTCCGGAACCCTGTGCCTGTCTCCCTCCGGAACCCTGTGTCTGTCTCCCTCCGGAACCCTGTGTCTGTCTCCCTCCGGAACCCTGTGTCTGTCTCCCTCCGGAACCCTGTGTCTGTCTCCCTCCGGAACCCTGTGTCTGTCTCCTTCTGGAACCCTGTGTCGCTCTCCCTCCCTCCCTCTGCTGCGGTCTCTCTCCCGGCTGCGGTCCCGCTCCCGGCTGCGTTCTCTCTCTCCTCGGTCTCTCTCCCGGCCTCTGTCCCACTCCCTCTCCCGGCTCCAGCGCTTTCCCTGGCTCCTCTCCCATGGCCTTGCCCCGTGGGGCCCCTCACGGTCCCTCTCCCTCCTGCGGTCCTCAGACAGATCCCTATGCCTCTCTGACAACCCAGAGGAAACAGGGATTGGCTCCCGGTCTCTGTGGCCACCCTCAAACCGACTGGCCCTGTCTCCACCGCGAGACTCTGAGCCCTCTCTGGTGGAGCTGCTCCTTCTCATGTCAGGCGAGTGTCGTCGCCAGTGGTCATCCCTGTGGGACTCTGGGCTGTGGCCCCCCATGCGGTTTGGTAGAGGTATGGGGCCCTCTAGAGGGGTCGGGAGCAGTGGCCCACTGTGGCGAGTTGGTCTTAAGTCTCCTGGATTGTCAAGGCAAAACCGGTCAGGTCCTCCGAAATGCTGAGGTGGGCCCCCCCGGTTGTCTTGAGGGGGTCTCTGGTCATCATAAGATCCCCTGTGTGGTGGTGGGGAGGGTGCTCTAGAGCCCCGAAACTGGTTAGGTGGATGGAAGCGCTGTCCACCCACATCTCCACTGGGAGGCGGGCCTCCCCGCCCCTCATACTGGTTGTGTGGAGGTCCTCTGTAAGAGGGGCCTGGTGGGGGAGCCTGGTTGTCTTTGTACATGTGTGAAGGGGTCTGACCCTGGTGATGGTCCATGCCCTGCTGGTAGGAACCAACACTGGCATTGTTGTACTGATCTACAGGGGCTCTTGGTGGGTCGATCATGGGGGCTTGGGACCCGTGATCCCCAAAATGAGAAGGCGGAGGACCTCTGGGCCCGGGAAAGTGGGATGGAGGGGGTCCTCTGTTGTCAAAGTGGCCTGGGGGAGGCCCTGTGAAGGGAGGAGGGGGGCCTCTGGGTCCAGGGAAGTTGAATGGAGGAGGGGGTCCACTGAACCTTGGTGGAGCTAAACCATTTTGCCCGTCAAAAGTAGGAAGTGGGGGAAGGCCTTCCATGAACTGGCCTGGAGGGGGGCCTTGCTGCCCCATGTGCTGGGGAGGCAGGGAGCCCATGGGGGTATTGAACATCTGGGGAGGTGGGGCTCTCTGGCCCATCGGCTGGAATGGAGGGGGTCCTCTGGGTTGCATTATGGTCTGGGGTGGAGGACCAGGGGGTGCCTCATACTGCTGCTGAGAGCCTCCCCACTGGTTCTGATAGGGAGGGTAAGCAGCAGGAGGTGGCCCATACTGAGAGTACTGAGACTGGTCGCTCTCCACTTGCATGGGTGAAGGAACCGGTATGGGTGGAGGTCTCTGCATAGGTAGAGGGCCTGACAAGGAAGGAATACTCTGCATGGGTGGGGGAACTGATATGGGTGGTGGTCCAAGCATTGGTGGTGGACCCTGCATCGGTGGGTGTCCAAGGTGGGGTGGGAATGTGGTTGTTGGGGGAATGTCAGGAGGAGCTCCATAGTCCATGTAGCCTGATGTTTCCATGTGTAACATGTGGGAGGATTGGGTGTCCACCAGGGTGGAGCTATCCTGGGTGACATTCTGAGACAGTACATGAATTGTAGGTGAAGTCGAGGAGTTGTTGTTTGCGGACATGTTGTAGTAGCCAGAGGATGTAGACCCTTCACTGTTCTGCTCAAAACTAGAGATCTCTCCTGTTTTTAAAATGCTGGCTGCATTTGGCCAAATACTGTATTTGTCAAAGTCACTCTTGGTTGGGTCGACTTCCACAGTTCGTTTCTCCACGTAATTGACCTCCATATCAGGTTCTACACGCTCACCTAACAGGGGAATGGACTCCTCTGTTGTGTTTGATTCCAGGAAGGGAAGAGATTCTGTTATAACCTCTTCTTGGGACAGTGGTGTTTCTGGCTCTTGGACATCAGTCTGTTGTGGTGGTGTGGTGTCTGTGACAGGAGCAGGAAGAGGTGTCTCCTCTTTTTCTATTGAGTCTGAGGTTAGCCTCCTGGGGTCCCTACTCGGCCTGGGGTCCCTGCTCTGCCTTGGGTCCCTTCTCTGGTTAATCAAAGGAGCGGCAGCAGAGGAGGATTTCACCAACTCATCAACCTTTTTGCCCAGCTGCAGGAGCTGACTGTTGGCCAGTAGGGATGGCTGTGAGATCAAGCTGTCAGTGACTGAGAACGAGGCAGCTGATGTCCCTGTGGTTGACCTTGGTTGGCGGATGGATTCCTCCTGCTTCTCAAGCTGACGTTTCTGCTCCTCGATTTGTTTGTTGAGATCCTCCAGCATTTTCTGCTGTTCGGTCAGACCTCCAGATGTGGTCTTGGCTTGACCAGGGACATTAGTCCTGACCTCCTCAAAGATGGTGTCATCCTCCGGATCATAAGCCACATCGTCCACATCCATAGCCTCTGGCTGCTTGATGACATCAGTTTCTTTAACTGACTTCTGGGGTGCTCCATAGCCCATACCTGGGTCATACTCCTCCTCTGGGTCATATGGTCGGTCATCCTCATCCTCCTCCACCTGCTTCTCCTTAGGAATCTGTCCAAACTGCTGAATAATGGGATCAAGCAGAGTAGCAGGGCCGGCTGAGACGTCAACAGCACCATGCTCAGAAGGGGACATGGAGGCCTCAGAGTCATGCATCTTGTTCCCAAACAAAGTCTTCAGGATGGTCTGAAGGGGGGTGGCATTGGCAGCAGAGGACACAGCAGAACTGGAGGAAGGTGACTCTCTGCCTGTAGCAGGGGCTTTGACAGAGGACAGGAAGGACAGCACTGATGAGGCTGCCATGGACGTGGATGAGGTCTCGGAGGAGCTGAGAGGGGGAGGTGTACCTGGGGGGGTTGTGCTGAAGGGAAGATCCTGGGTGTACCGCAAGGCTTTCTCTGCTTTCACTTCAGCCTTGATGGCTGGGGTTGGTTTTGGAAGGCCGGTGTCATCTAGGTCTCTGATTTGGGTCATGGAACGCTTCTCTTCAGTCTCCAAGGAGGCTACAGCACGCTTCTTGTCCTTCTGGCAGATCACCAAGCCGAGGAGGAGGTTAGGACGCGCTGGTTCAAGTCCTACAAGATAGAAAGTTAAAACAATGAAAATGCAATAAAAACATATGTATCCACTCACACACTTGTATACTGCATATCTCAACTAGATTCAAGAAACATTTCCAGAGATACAGATCTGCTTGAAGTGAAACGAGAGCTTGTTTCAAACACCCCCTGCTATGACAGCAACAGAGGAATTCAAAGACAGGGAATCACATTATATATGAATGGGAATTTCTTTAGCACACCAAACCAAAACAGATCACAAAAAGGTGTTGATTTAAAGTCACAAGCTGTGGTCTTCACTTTCCATTTTGAATTGTTCAAACAATCAATAACATGAGCAAAAAATGCCACCTGTATAATCAGGTAAAAGTATAACCATTAAATTATAAAATGAATGTGTCAAAAGAATACAAACAAGAATTGTAAGCCACAGAACCATTATAGGAGTATTAAGAATCATCACACTGCTGAGCAGTCAAACTCCCCATCATACTTTGAGAAATGTGACTGTCTGTAAACCGCATTAGTCTACATGTTCCTGTTGTTTGATCAAACAACCTCATCACACTTCGAAGTTACAAACACTCAACAGTTTCACTAAGCTTTTCATCTTGCTAGATTGTGATTAGTATGCATTCTCATGAAGTCACTTGTAATTAGTGGACATTTCCACATATTCTTTACGATTCCATATAAAAAGACAATATATTTGTTGTACAGTACATTCCACTCATCTTAAGTTTTTAATGACACATACTAATCCAACCTCTGCTGACAACAAATTATATGGATGTGTGTTTCTTGATTCTTCAATTCAGTCTAACAAGTGTTTGAAAGCCATAGATTCTTCTCGCCCTTCATCTTCTTTAAAACGGCAACATGAGTGGGCCCATCTCTGTCCAAGGCTCTCTGAGCTGGACATCTCTCAGGATAACTTACCATGGCTCCCCAGACATTCAGTTTGTGGTATGGAATGGGCTTGGTGCAGGTCAGGTTCTGCCCCTTCAGTTATGACGTGTAAGTACTGGAGATCCACTAATGCAGTAGACCAAGTTGCAGTGTAGAACACTTTAAATGTAACATACTGTGGGGCAGATGTCATTTTCAGAAACAACATCATTACCCAAACATTTTTCAATGGAGTATCTACAGTGCAGAATAAAAGGTGAGCCTTAAAAACAACAGGCTGAGACTGACATCTAAGGCTGCACCAACCTGTGATGCACAACATCCTTTATTTAAGACAGACGTGTGATACAAGGTAATATACACACAAAGTACACATTGCACATAGAAAAAGTACAGAGGGATGTTCATGGAGGAAGGCAACAACAAAAGCACATGATCGCCCCCTACAGTGTATATCATAAATGAACTTCATGAAACAATCTCTCATTTCACACAGAGGAAAACTAAGTAAACTAACTAAACCCTGAAGATACTTACCACTCAGAACAAAATGATTGACTGACATCATTACTAACTTAATTGTCTTCAGGTATATTGACACATCATATTGAAACCAGCATGTGAGTGTTAGGGTTATCAGAGGCCTCTGTGTCTCCCTGCAGATGCTTACCTGGCCCATCGAAAGGTAACAACTTGGTGGGCAGGGGGTCCTTGGAGCACAGGGGGATGAGGTACAGGTCTTTGATGCGGCGATTGTTGTTGGCGACCACTCCAAAGCGCTTCCTGCTGCTGAAATAAGAGAAGAGCGAGACGTAGGCCACCTCCTCTTCCTCTGTGGCTGGATGGAACCGGATCAGACACAGCTCCTGGGGACAGGGCAAACACAAACAGGGGTGTGACCTTAGGGTCCTCGACCAGGAAGTAGGTTGTGTATAAATACCTCATGGTGGACAGCTTTACCTTGGACAGAGACGTCTTTAGTTTCCCCACATAGTCCCACACGGTGCTGGGGGAGATTCGGCCTCCGATGTGGATGGTGTCAGGCAGGTCCTGTACAGGATTAACAATGTCACTTTTGTGTTGAACTCTGATGACATTATTCCCACATCTATTCACAACCAGTTCAAACAAGTAATACATGTATTCTGGTCATAATGTACTTAAAGTTTCACTATGATTAAAATATAACAGCTGTCATGTAGTCAGTCTGAGTTATTAGTTCTACAATGTGTTTTTTCTTAGCTCACGTAAAACAAACTACAACTACCATTGACGTACGTTTTTTTTCAAACAAATGAATAACCAACCTCTTTCAGGTGCTCAAAGGTTCCAGAGACCAGGTATGCCTTAGTGACAAACTTGGCCACGGTGTGCATGTTGACAAATCCTTTCCACATCATCTCCTGACTATGGAGGAAGATGGCGGTCTCACCCTCTGGAGGAGGCTCTGACGAGGCAGCTTTCTGCATGACGGGCCTGGGGATGGAGGGTGGAGGAGCCGGGGGCATGGGCAGGGGCCCCTTGGGCACCACCTCCATCACTACAACCGGAGCAGGCTCTGCTGAGATAGCCGGTCTTGAATAGGTATCTGCTGGGATAGGTCTTGAATAGGACTCTGTTGGAATGGGTCTTGAATAGGTATCGGTTGAGATCGGTGCCACCATGGAGGTGTCTGGGGCTGAGTGGGTGACCGTCACTCCAGAGCTGTGTCTTGCCATGCGTGGGTCTCTGCGGGTGATGCTGACAGAGGAGACTGCTGGTGCGGTAACAGGGGCTGGGGGCTGGGGCGGAGGTAACATGATGCTTGCGTCCTCCTGGTACGGCAGGGGCTCAGGGACTGGCATCTCACTGCCGGGATAATTGACCGGCGCACCTTCACCTGAGGAGGACCTGGGCAAGCGCCTCACCTCTTGCCTCACCTCGGGCTTCTTGGAGAGTTTGGCCTTCTTGGCTGCTGGTTCATCGTCTGCAGACTTCTGGCCTGGAAGACGGGAGACAGAGGCTACTTAAACCTTCAAATCCACTAAGTGAAGCATGGAGTAATAGGAATGAAGATATTTCCTCAGAGATCTTTGATGGACATATGCCACCGTTTCTTGCATACCATCAAAACACTTCACCTCTCATTCTTTTCATTCATTTTTACCTGTACAGATTTTGCAGTTGAGGTCAAAGAGGTGGGCCCTGTGTTCGGCCGTGGTGTCCCGCATCATGCTGAAGATATCTGGCAGGGCACTGCCACGCTTCACCCCAGCCTGAACTGAGCCAGAGGAGGGAGTGGAGCCAGCTTCCTCTTGTTCCTGAACACATTGGAAAAGGAGACCAGAGAGACAGTCAAATCTACAAACTGACTTTCAGTGGATTCTCAAAATAGCACAATAGCCAAATCTGATGAGGGCCTGAATACCAAAATTATTCTGAGCAACCATTTGTTGTATGGCAATAACGTTTTCTGATACATGAATCATTAGATCATCTGTAAAACGATAGCTACATTTATGCACAGTGTGTGTGATTTGAAACTGTAAAACCACAATATGTTACCCACATGTTTGCCACCCAGCATAGCATGGTTCTAGTCTTATGCAGGGAAAATGAAGATGAAAGACAAGCAGAAGTGAAAGAGAGAGCCACCACTTACTGCAGCAGATGCCATGTGAGGAGATGGAGAGGTGCCAGAGATACATACGTCTCCATCAGACATTGGAGGAGCATCCTCCATGTCCACATCAGGGGGGCCAGCATCCTGCCTATGTCTCGATTTGGACTGCCCTGTGTGGGATCTAGCGCTGGGAGCCTATGGGACACAATGGAGGTCATCAACTTAGTGTCTGTAGCAATATATGGGAATATAAGGCTAATGATATGGTCTCTTTAGTAGTGATATTTAGTTGCACAATCAATGAAATTCCAAGTCTTGCTCTGTTCATAGAATTATTGGTTCCCGTTATCATGTTCTCTTACCTCAGTGGTGTCAGGCTTCCTCCATTCTGAGATCTCTTTGGAGAGCAGCTCATCTGCACTCAGCCTCACCAGCCTGAAGGGGCTGACCTCTCCCCAGACCACCCTGTAGAAAAGGCCCTGAGACAAGCACAACACACTGTCATTCACATAATTCTAGGTCTGGTAGGCTGCACATCTGGGTTGGAGTGAACATAACTTCCAATATTCAGGAGATTAATTTAAATCCAATTCATGACTCACGATCAATTACTGTAACTAAATTTACCCACATACCAACAACGCATTACTATAATATAGAAAGACAGTTTGTCATTAAAATGTACATGGCTTTCCAACATTCAGCATATTTGGTTTAGCCTACACAACTTATCACATGACTAGTCTCTTCTGCAGACACAAAAGAGCCCAAGTCAGTGTTTCTGTGGACTGACCTTGTTTTTGGGGTCCTTCAGGTTGAACATGAGGCCCCTGTACTTGTTCTTGTACTTGCTGTCCGTACACAGGCAGAGGTTGAACATCTCCTTCTCAATGTTGACAGCCAGTTTTCCCACCTCGTTCTCAGACATATTCAAATCATCACTGTCACTCACCCTGGTGGGACAATGAGATACAACTCACATTTTAGAGCTCTAAATTAAAAGTTACAAATAAAGATTTCAGGCAAATCTATTTCCCATTGGCCTACAACAATCTTATTCTCTTAAAAATATCAACATTCAGATGAAAGACCTTAGGTAGCATGAAGTTCACAAAACAATACAAACTATTCTCTCAAATAGACTTATGGGGTACGCACCTCTTGTATAGGATGTCTGTGAGCGAGCGGCGGATGTTCTGTCTCATCTGGTTGTTGGGCGGAGCTGTCGGGCACATCATGGAAGGTGCTAAAGTAGCTGGTTCATGGCGTCGGGAGGAGGGGGCTGGGGATGGTGAGGACAGGATTCTGGACGGACTACGGTCTCTCTGCTGGGGCTGGGCCTGCTTCTTAGGGATGGTAAAGCTGGACTTGCCAACCCTCAGGGCCCCTGTGACGTGATGTCGTGGGGCGTCTAGAGAGCCAGGGCCAGAAGGGGTCAGAACAGCAGGTGGTGGAGGTGGTTTCTTGGATTTGGTTGTTTTTTTAGGAGGGGGGGGTGGTTGTTTCTTTGGTGCCTTAGCACTGCTGACTGGAGTTGCTGCTTTATTGCGTCTGGTGTATGTCTTTAATACTTTGGGGCCACGGGTCTTCTTTCCTCCTTTGAGCGGCGCTGTGGAAGCAGGCGACTTCTTCTCAGGAGGGGTTGGTTCCTTCTCACTCTGGTCCTCTTCACTCTCCTTCTTTTCAGGAGCTGCGGAGGATAAAACAACACACTTTAAACCCAAGTAGAAACAGTATGTGAACCATCATAAACATAATGTGTGAAGTAAATAGAATTCAGAATTCAGGACATGTAGGCATATACAATGTGATCTTGGGGTGGTGTAAGATATCCCCACTTAGGTTCACTTAATGACTGACTGCCAGACAGCATCTGACCAGAATGCATACAAAGAACACAAAATATTGGTGATTTGAAGACAGGACCTCCTCCCTTTGTTGGATCTAGAAATAAATACCTTGCAATTAGAAACACAAAATAAACCTGCTTAAATACATCATTCCATTCACTGAAACAGCCAACCATATGCACACACACAACAACGGGTTGAACAAATATAAAACATAAAGATAGAACTTAGAAATCTCCATTATTCTCTTGCAAAAATGTATTCATGTATTTGTGTAAAGGAGCCATTGTGTTGGCGTTGCAATTTCAATCCTCTTCTCAACATCAGTTCAAATGGTGGTAATCCTCTTCATGAAGAATGTAGACAAGACTTCAGTATTATCAGAAAGGATGAGTTGACTAAATCCTCACAGGCCTGACTGTGTACTAAGTGAAGAAAGCAACACAGTTCTCTCTGATATGAATGGTGCCTGCATAACCAACATTTTACATCTGTTCCTGAGCACTGGACCCCAATCAACAACCCATCAGATAAGAACATATACTAGATATGTGTCCTAAAAGACACCTGTCTAGAAAGTCACTGGGTACAGGGTTTTCTCCACAAAACTAAAATTCTATTGGTTTCTCCCTTTGTCTGGTCTTTGAAGAGCCCACCAGTTGACCCACTCTATCAAGTGGCCCAAAAACAACCAGTTTCCCAAAAGTTCAACTGAACTTGGAACTTACCATGTCTGGGAAAAGAATGTCTGAACATTAATCTGCCTCCACTACCCACCTAAAATCTGATATTTTCACCACTGAAAATTCAGTGCTGTGAGGCTAGCACACAAAACAGTCCTAACACCATCTACCTTCAGGGGTACACGTATTTAATGAGAATTCAATAAAGACAAAATATGTATATTGAATATAAACAACCTCAACAATTCAATAAAAAACTATTCAAGATCAATGCAACATCTTTCCACAGACATTGGAAAGGAAAGTGAAAGGGGGATACATTGTCAGTTGTACAACTGAATGCATTCAACTGAAATGTGTCTTCCACATTTAACCCAACCCCTCTGAATCATTGGTTGTGCATGACAAGTATACTAGTACAAATTACTTTTGTATGACCATGTCAAAATATGTACATCAATATTAGTTATAGCTTTGTTAAAGCACATTAAGCTTTTCTGCCATGTCTGTGTTGCTCATTACTAAAGTATGAGGATTCTGGCTGTACATGCAAAACGGCAATACCTGCGAGTGCCATCAAGAGAAAATGCTACTGCCATCATCAATTACACAATTGCTAATTGAGCCAAAGGCACAGACCATTCACCTCCAGCCCAAACCGTTAAACCGGTTCTTACCTGTACAAAAATAATCACTTGCATGCTTTAAAATCACTGCATGTTCATTTATGCTGATTTCAAACAAGACCACCTGTTTAGACACACAAAAGGTAGCAAAGGCAATTTCAAGTTGACTGATTTGTACAAAAAAATATATATCTTGTTGTCAAACAATCAAAATGTCATAATCAGAACTTGTATGTCTGCAAAATAAGATATTACAGATCAGAGGATATAGACATGCGAGCAGGTCATGAGTGAATCACATATGACATTTTCACTCACGGCCGAGAGTAACAGGCAGCTGGTATTATGGTGGATAAGCTGATTCCTGAGGGCATGAACTACCAAAATACCTTGCGACTGCCCTCACACTCCCAAAATCCACAACCTGTAATAACTGCCCTCATAATAAGTAAGCTGGATAAAGCTAGGAACCAAAGCAGAGTTCCTCATAGTGAAAAATATACTAAATTGTCCCTAAATATATCTTTCAATAATTTCATATCAGTAAATCACAATTGTGGTATAACTTTTACGTGACAACAGTCTGCCTCTCTGCTCTTTCTGTAGTTTATGAAGACTCTGGTCTTCCATTCTTCTTGTGCAGTCATTCAAAAATACTTCTGTGCAGTGTCTTCAGCTGGTCTTGTCTCGGTAGAAGAAACTATAGATTTCCTGTCCCAGCTGTTCCCCGTCTGTCTGCTTCAGACTTTCACTTCCTTCTGGCATGGTGTAGATCTGTGCCACATGCTGTCTGAGAGCAACTGGCCAGGACATCCCCAGTAATCCAAGACCTCTCCCATAATCAATCAAGGCATCCAAAAATCTGTCTTAACACCTTTTATTTTATCGCCAGTGTCCCAGAGGGAGTTTGGATGCATGACATTCAATATGAATAATAATGTTAACTATTTTAAAAACCAGCACGTTATTCACAAAGCTAATAGTGAATACTTCCATGGCTGCGCTGAAGAGACGTATTGCTTAATTAAATCAGCAGTGAGCTGTATTTCTGGATAGTCCACTGTATAAATCCAGGGATAAAAAGTCACAGACCTACCTGCTGGAGAGAGGAGGGAGGGACTGCCTTCAGATGAACAGCAGCGTTGGTAAGAGGAGCGCATGGAGAGATATTCACACGCACCACATGGGTGCCAACACACACACGTAATATAGTCACCTAGGATTTATATAAATCTACATCATAAGTAATCCCCAACCATTGCTTTGTTCATGGTTACTGATTTTCTTTTTAACAATAGGGTTTTCAAAATAAATCCTAAAATACTTACCCTTGTATCCATTCATAGCAATGTGTACTTATCCACTCTGCATACCTGACTAAGTAACCATGCCCTGGAACATACCCTAAAACTCTGAATACATTTGGGGACCCATTGTCATTACTGTTTTCCGCACAGATATGGGTCATTCATCTAAGGCATTACGTCACCATGATAACAACCACATTTACAATGGGCAAACAATGTGGTTTTTCAAAAAAAACCATCATAGATCAATGCATATCATACATTCAACAGGCTCACTTGACAACCCCTATAGTGTGAGAAGATAAACAGTTAAGAGTGGATTATTAAGACCTTCAAAGAGATACATACACGTTTTGTTTAACACTGTTGGTGGTGCTATGGGTGTAGTCTTTTCTGGCGTTACTGCATTGTAATTATGGTCGCTGGACCAGGACGACATGGCAGGTGGCGGTGGATGCTCTTCGTGCTGCTCTTCATCACCATCCTCGTCAGCCTCACCGTCAGACTCTTCCTCCTCTGTGGACTTCTTGCTGGTCTTCCTCCCTGTGGTGGAACTCTTCTGGACGGACAGACAGACATGCAATCAAATCAGTAACGGGGCACAGGAAGGGTTTCATATAAAAATATTTAAAGTTATGTTGTTATGTAATGCAGGATGATGCATTTTTGAATGAGGAACAAGGTTATTCACATTATGTGAGCACAAGTTCATTGAATTTCACCTGTGGTGTGTTTGTGCATATGTTCGGCTCAATAACATACTTAATGATCAAAGTCTGACATTGACCTCAATTCACCTATACATCTAATAAAAGCAAATGGACAAAAGCACATCAATATACATACAAATGTAAACTGTTGCCAATTCATTACATTGGGGAAAAAATTGCAATTTAGTAAATCATATGAGAGTTGTCTGTAATTTATTAGACACCATGGAATAGATGAAATAGCAATTGAATAGCAAAAATATTTCTCCTGGGGCAATGTCGCCCTGTCCCTCCTCCACCAGATGTTCCTCAGACCAGAATTGTGTTCTGTAGTTCCTACTGATGCAATCAATCACCAACCTTCCCATGAATGTTTGCTACCAATGATGCAGAAAAAATTACAATCTAGCAAGTAACCAATAAACATTATTTCAGGTCACTATAATTACTCAGATATTTCTGGAAAAAATCTAACCAGCTGTATAATCCATTAGTCATTGGCAATGAGATATTCACACTCAATTTCATAAGAAATAATAAATAAGAAGAAATTGGTGTCAATTTTTGTGGCGATTTAGAGAAAGTATTTCAAAACACTTGAATGTATTAGGCCTATGCTTAATTTGGGCTCCACACAATTTATTACTAACCAGTTTCAGTAGGTGAAAACCTAAACATATTTGGTATCTTATGAACCCCATGTTTACCTTGGGCGTTGCCCTGGTACCAGGTGTTTTCTTCTGTCCCTTGGCCTTGTCTTGGTCTTTCTGCTTAGGTTCATCTTTCTGCTTGGGCTCGGAGATGGACTTGGCTGCCATGGCTGCGGCGGCATGTCTCAGGATACACTCGCTGCCGCAGTAGACAGAGTCCTTCAGAGCGTTCTTCTCACAGCCTGGCCCGATACATTTGGGCAGATTAGACTCCTCTGCCGCCTGTTGAAAGTCAAACAGGTCACACAGGTGCAACATATACAATACCACTGACAGATTCATGTATAGGCAAAAGTGTCAGAGGTTATAATATACAAATATCCATATGAAGTAGGGATGGGCAGTTGAAAGAAAGTGTGTTCGAGCACTATCAAACTATTTATGGGGCTGATGGCAAAAGAGTATGCCAGCGTTGTTCCAAATACAGGTTGTCCTGATTCAACTGAAAACGAAAACCTATTTTCACTACAAACAATAAACACATCTCAGAGTTTGAAATGCTTACACATGTTGAGTGCTTGTATTCAATTATTAGTAATAAAATAGAAACCTTCAATCAAGTACTCACACCCATCCCTAATATGGAGCTCTCAGATGTCTTTCAGAAAGCGATTATTGGCATGACATAAACATGAATAGTTTTTTTTTGTTGAGTTCATCCACTGGAGCTATGAGAAAAGTAATAGAAAACCTACTGCCTGAAAAATCTTGATCTTCTTTTTCCCACTGGGGTTGGTTGTTTTCTCTATCCTCCCTTTGATCCCCAAGTCATCTCCACCCTTCTCATCTGCGCCAGCAGCAGCTGTAGGTGAGGAAGCTGCCACAGAGGAGCTCTGCTCGGCCTTGCGGGCCCCAGGGGCAGCTGCTTTGGGTTTGCCATTGGGCTTGGCTGTCTGGCTCTTCTTGGTGGTGCAGTTGGGGCAGACGTAGTCCTCCCCGTTCCTCTCCATCAGACGTCCACGGGCCTCAGTGATGCCCACACAGTCTCCATGGAACCACTCCTCACAGCGGTCGCAGCAGATCATGAACCTGGGCACACACACATAGAGCACTTAGCAGAGCACAGAGAAACTGCTATGCAAATAGTAGGGGGGGGGGGTTATATATTGTGATATTATTTTTGACGATTATATATCGCAATATTTTTGCGCTAGTTGCCTGTACCGGCACCAAAACTACAGTATTTTACCTTCATAGCTTGTTCTCCATATTATTTTAAATAGGGAGCCAATTAGTTTTCAGCACTTTTATTTCCATGACTGATCAAAACTTGTTTCTCATGGCTGTCTCTTGTCCCTTCGCAGCAGCCATACGGTGAACAACATGAAACATTGAATCGCAATAAAATAACAGTATCGAACCGCAATACATATAGAATCGTGAGAATCACAATACATATCATATCGGCAGCAAAGTATCGTGATAATATCGTATCATGAGGACCCTGGCAATTCCCAGCCCTAGCAAACAGAGCCACAGTCGTAGACAGAGGGTTACCAATGTGTAACCTGTGATAGTTGGTATATTAATGTGGTCAGCTGTAGCTCAGTTGGTAGAACATGGCGCTTGCAACACCAGGATAGTGGGTTTGATAAGAGTGTCTGCTAAATGGCATATTATTATTATTGTTATAACAGCGTTATAAGGCAGCGACAAAGCTAATATGGTAAAGCATAGTTTACAAGTCACTCAGGTTAACTAATCACTAACCATTCATCCCCTTGTAGGTGGGCAATGGAGGCTATTTTGATCACAATCCGTGAACACAAGCATTTGCAAGAACTAGAGGCGTCAGATTTCCAATTGAAATGCATAATAACATCCAAATGCTTACCTTTTGTTGTGTTTCTGTCGACAGATGCAGTACAATGCATTAGGGTCATATCCTTCAGCGTCGCCCGAGTCACTGGATGATGAGGATGACAGGTATTCATCATCATCCTCATTTTCATCATCTTCCTCCTGGTCTTTGCGGGTCTTTGCTCCTCCTCTGGACTTTGTGTCTCTCTTGTTGGGGTTGGTGCCCCTACCGGCCGCCTTGGCAGGACTGCTGGACCTGGTCTCTACGGGCTTCTCCTCGCTCTCCTCTTTTACCTTCTCTTCCTCCTTCTCATCTTTTTCTGCCACTTCTTTCTTCACAGAGTCCTGCTCTGGCTGAGGCTGCACTGTATCCTCCTCCTCTTTCTTTTCAGGGATGGTTGTCTTCTTGTCCTCCTCCTTCTCCTCCTGGGGCTGAGGCTGGGGATCTTTGGGTGCATCTCCACTACCCTTCTCCTCATTGTCAGAGCTTCCATCATCACTGACCGAGCCACCTCTGCTGCTGCTGCCACGGCCTTTAGCCTTCCGAGTTGTCCTCTTCCTGCTCCTCGTCTTCCTCACTGGGGAATCTGGTTTATCTTCCACAGACTTGGCCTCTGCGTTGCCGTCAAAGCTGGCCTCAGAGGCAGTTTCCGCATCTGTATGGGTCTGGGAGGGAGGGTCCCCACCCTCTATGCTGCCAGGTGCACTCCTCCTCCCCACTGTACGCGCTCTCTTGGTGGTGAGCAGGAACTCCTCCAGCTTGTCAGTGCGTTTGGCCTGCCTCCCGCTGCGGCGCACAGGCCCTACTTGGCCATCCTGGCTCTCAGCAGTCGTGTCTCCTGGCATTTCTCTCTTGGCTATGGTAGTCCGACGGAATCCCCAGGTCTTCTTGAACTCGCTTGTGGTTTTAGCAGATTGCTCAGTCTCCTCTAGCTTTTCCTCAGTAGCATTGTCACCGTGCTCTTGGTCTTCTTTATCTTCTCCGTCCTTCTTCAGGACTTTATCATCCTCTGGGATAGCTGTTGATGGTATCGACACATTAAGGGCCACAAATAATGTGTTTACATTAAGTAGCAGGTTTTGCCAATCAAAAGACTATGATTTACTAAGCTAATTAGGTCTACAATGTGTATATAGGAATAGTGAAATCCCTTGTGATTCTAGTAATCCTGACCCTACACACTAATCAACACCTTACAAAGAGGAATTACAGAGAATCCAGCAGTGCAGTGCCCATTAAAGTGAGACAAACAAGATGCCCCCCTCATTGACAAGGGAAAGGAAGCTAGTCCAAGGTACCTTGAGAGCTGCTATCCATAGGGTCCTGGCTCTGCTCTGGCTCGGGAGCTAGATAGAGCTCAGGGCTCACATTCTCCTCCATAGATGATGGAGTCACACACTACTTTCAAACAGAACGTCTACAGTTAAGAGAAGAGCACAAAAGACGAGCTGTGAGATAGCTACTCTTGAACTCCATTTAACTGAGGAGTGTGGTTGTTTTGGGGAGGGTGGTTGGAGCAGCACTTTGTCAATGTTAAACAACTTTCTTCATATCGATAGACAACCCTTTTCCCAAAATTATCCAGATTTGTTTTTGTCAGCCATTGCTGTCTTTTCATACCATCAATTTTCCTCCTTTCCACAAACTGGCTACAGCAGGCTGGCTGTTGTAGTTATAATGATAACTCTACCCGTAGTTGAATCGTGAATTTATCCTTGTTAGCCTAGATCCTGTTACACCGCTAACCATGGTAAGATGACAAAACAGCAGCAGCAGAATTTTGATTCAACGAAGTTATGAGTATTCTAAAACTCCTCCTACAGAACAATATTTGTAAATCTTTCAGGTAAAACGGTTTTACAATGCCATATTGTCACCTTGCTGTTCATTGTTACCTCTTAAACTGTTTGCTATTGGAAATTATACTGGTAGGACAGAAAATCTGAGGCTGTTCACTAATTGGGCCATGTCGAATTCGTACAATTAAGCAATAAGGCCCGAAGGGGTGTGGTATATGGCAATTTACCATGGCTAAGGGCTGCTCTTAGGCACGACGCAACGCGGACTGCCTGGATACAGCCCTTAGCCGTGGAATATTGGTCATATATCACAAACCCCAGAGGTGCTTTATTGCTATTATAAAGTGGTTATCAATGTAATTAGAGCAGTACAAATACATGTTGTCATACCCTTGGTATATGTTCTGATATACCACGGCTGTCAGCAAATCAGCATTCAGGGCTTGAACCACCCAGTTTATAAAAACAAAATAGAACACCACTACCGGGACAAGCCTAGTCTGTTGAACCATCTACATTTACACAATTCCTATTGTTTACAAAATAAATGGAACCCCCGTAAATTAAACAAATAAGTGCATGGCATCCGTTTTATTCTTTGAAAGAACATGAGCCTACCTGCTGCTCTGTAGTGGTAGGGCACTGATTAAGTGCTTCTCTGATGAGAAAGGTGCTACGTTTCCACTCACAGCAGTTTCTGATCAGTACTCATTACAGGTCTGGTACTGGGATCTTGGACCTGTAGATGTCAGAAAACAACCGTTAAGCATTTGAGGGTAAGTCCCCTGTAGCTCAGTTGGTAGAGCATGGCGCTTGCAATGTCAGGGTTGTGGGTTTGTTTCCCACTGGGGGCCAGTATGAAAATGTATGCACTCACTAACTAAGTCGCTCTGGATAAGAGCGTCTGCTAAATGACTAAAATGTAAATGTAAATGAAATGGCAACAGTATGCAGCCTTGAAAAGCACAATACATCACAACAGGTTGGCACCCATCCAACTCCTAACTTTCAATGTGTGTGTGTGGGACACTTTCAGGGACTTCAGATCATACAATGTCACAGATTCCAAATTCAAGACACTGCTGAAACAGAGGTTGTTCTGACAGTTTGTCTATATGAGACCCACTTCCTTTAGTCTTATCATAACACAATAATTCACTTCATCTAGACCTATTGATCTACTGTAATAAAATATTGCTAAATAATAGTGACTACTGCAAATAAGGTTCAGTGTGTAGGGTACAGATATTGTCAACTTGTTACAAAATATTTGTCGTAATCAAGAGACACCAGTAGATAATCATTATCAGCCCCACCTAATTTAATTCAGATTAACAAAAGATGTATCCCAATCCCAATTGATGACTAAACAAACCTAAAACCCACGTTGTAGTTATCATTATCAAATAATTATCAAAACACAACAAATAGGCCTACATGTTATAAACAATGCCTGCTCTTACGTCCCCCGCACCCACCCACCCACAGCAGTTGGACTGAAAACAGATACAGTGGGGGAAAAAAGTATTTAGTCAGCCACCAATTGTGCAAGTTCTCCCACTTAAAAAGATGAGAGAGGCCTGTAATTTTCATCATAGGTTCACGTAAACTATGACAGACAAAATGAGAAAAAAAAATTACGAAAATCACATTGTAGGATTTTTAATGAATTGATTTGCTAATTATGGTGGAAAATAAGTATTTGGTCAATAACAAAAGTTTCTCAATACTTTGTTATATACCCTTTGTTGGCAATGACACAGGTCAAACGTTTTCTGTAAGTCTTCACAAGGTTTTCACACACTGTTGCTGGTATTTTGGCCCATTCCTCCATGCAGATCTCCTCTAGAGCAGTGATGTTTTGGGGCTGTCGCTGGGCAACACGGACTTTCAACTCCCTCCAAAGATTTTCTATGGGGTTGAGATCTGGAGACTGGCTAGGCCACTCCAGGACCTTGAAATGCTTCTTACGAAGCCACTCCTTCGTTGCCCGGGCGGTGTGTTTGGGATCATTGTCATGCTGAAAGACCCAGCCACGTTTCATCTTCAATGCCCTTGCTGATGGAAGGAGGTTTTCACTCAAAATCTCACGATACATGGCCCCATTCATTCTTTCCTTTACACGGATCAGTCGTCCTGGTCCCTTTGCAGAAAAACAGCCCCAAAGCATGATGTTTCCACCCCCATGCTTCACAGTAGGTATGGTGTTCTTTGGATGCAACTCAGCATTCTTTGTCCTCCAAACACGACAAGTTGAGTTTTTACCAAAAAGTTCTATTTTGGTTTCATCTGACCATATGACATTCTCCCAATCCTCTTCTGGATCATCCAAATGCACTCTAGCAAACTTCAGACGGGCCTGGACATGTACTGGCTTAAGCAGGGGGACACGTCTGGCACTGCAGGATTTGAGTCCCTGGCGGCATAGTGTGTTACTGATGGTAGGCTTTGTTACTTTGGTCCCAGCTCTCTGCAGGTCATTCACTAGGTCCCCCCGTGTGGTTCTGGGATTTTTGCTCACCGTTCTTGTGATCATTTTGACCCCACGGGGTGAGATCTTGCGTGGAGCCCCAGATCGAGGGAGATTATCAGTGGTCTTGTATGTCTTCCATTTCCTAATAATTGCTCCCACAGTTGATTTCTTCAAACCAAGCTGCATACCTATTGCAGATTCAGTCTTCCCAGCCTGGTGCAGGTCTACAATTTTGTTTCTGGTGTCCTTTGACAGCTCTTTGGTCTTGGCCATAGTGGAGTTTGGAGTGTGACTGTTTGAGGTTGTGGACAGGTGTCTTTTATACTGATAACAAGTTCAAACAGGTGCCATTAATACAGGTAACGAGTGGAGGACAGAGGAGCCTCTTAAAGAAGAAGTTACAGGTCTGTGAGAGCCAGAAATCTTGCTTGTTTGTAGGTGACCAAACACTTATTTTCCACCATAATTTGCAAATAAATTCATTAAAAATCCTACAATGTGATTTTTTGGATTTTCTTTTCTCAATTTGTCTGTCATAGTTGACGTGTACCTATGATGAAAATTACAGGCCTCTCTCATCTTTTTAAGTGGGAGAACTTGCACAATTGGTGGCTGACTAAATACTTTTTTTCCCCACTGTAACTAAACCTGGACAGGTAAAGATAGCATTTAGATTATAATTAATTTTTTAACAATCCCTCTCCGTAGCATGATAAACAATATCCCTGAGCAAAAGCGCCAGACCACAGATTGCTCAATAAAATATTCCTATTAGCCCAAGTAATTTAAGTTACAAAATATATTTTTTAACTATTTGCTCAACAAAGACAGACAGTTTAAGAAAAGAGAATATATTCCCCAAAATCAAAGCAGCTTGCTATATTTTCAAATAATTTTCAGATCAGTCTGGCCTGACCATTCCACTGACAATACCACAAGCATGAGGACCTCCAAATCATTTCCACCTCAAACATGTCTGAGAAACTTGTGCAGAATAAATAGAACCAACCATGTTGTAATTTTATAATGGTGGTGGGAAGGGAATTGATTTGAGCAATCATTCAAAGCATGGATACTATCCTCCAACAATGGCATGAGTGACTCAAATGAATCATCAATGCAGCATGATCGATGAGACAGCCTATAGGGAGGTCAGAGGCCTGGCAGTATGGTGCCAAGACAACAGCCTCACCCTTAACGTGGGTAAGGCAAAGGAGCTTATCGTGGACTACAGGAAACGGAGGGCCGAACACGCTCCCATTCACATCAAGGGAGCTGTGGTGGAGCGGGTCGAGAGCTTCAAGTTGCTCGATGTTCACATCACTAAGGACCTATCATGGTCCAAACACAGCAACACAGTCGTGAAGAGGGCACGATAGGGCTGGGCGATATGGCCTAAAAAAAACAGATCTTTATTTATTTTTACTTACGGGTGATTCACGATATACAGTGCCATCGGAAAGTATTCAGACCCGTTGATTTTTTCCCACATTGTTACGTTACAGCCTTATTTTCAAATGGATAATAACAATACAATTATCACATCCCCACACAATACCCCATAATGACAAAGCAAAAACAGGTTCTGAATTTTTTGCTAATTTATATATGTAAATAAAAACTGAAATATCACATTTACATAAGTATTCAGACCTTTCACACAGTACTTTGTTGAAGCCCCTTTGGTAGCGATTACAGCCACGAGTCTTCTTAGGTATGATGCTACAAGCTTGGCACACCTGTATTTGGGGAGTTTCTCCCATTCTTCTCTGCGGATCCTCTCAAGCTCTGACAGGTTGGATAGGGAGCGTTGCTGCACAGCTATTTTCAGGTCTCTCCAGAGATGTTCGATCGGGTTCAAGTCCAGGCTCTGGCTGGGCCACTCAAGGACACTCAGAGACTTGTCCCGAAGCCACTCCTGCGTTGTCTTGGCTGTGTGCTTAGGGTAGTTGTCCTGTTGAAAGGTGAACCTTATCCCCAGTCTGAGGTCCTGAGCGCTCTCCCTTTATCCTGACTAGTCTCCCAGTCCCTGCCGCTGAAAAACATCCCCACAGCATGATGCTGCCACCACGCTTCACCATCAGGATGGTGCCAGGTTTCCACCAGAC